ACCACTGGAAGTCTTTAACGTTTCATTTTTCTAAAGGAAGGAAGCCTCATTTTGAAGCTTTCATTACTTCTGCTGTCTTTAAATAGGATACGAAAAACCTTGTTGCTTTATATCTCTGCAATAAGTTCCGTCTCAGAGATTAAAAGTCGGAAAATGAAGGAGGAGCCGTTTGGTTCTTTTAAAGGGAAGCGATGCGAAATCGACAGTAGTCACTAGTTCAGTTACAACTACAGTTAGATACAAAACTTTCGACATTAAACCGAAGCCCAAGTTGGTCTCTTTCACACGCCAGCAATCATATTTTTGCCTGGCAGCAAAATTATCTAATTGCCGGTGCTATAAAATATTGACCCAGTTGCTGACGAACTTCGGGACTCTCTCAAATTAAATGCCGCTTTGCCCTCATTATTCTCCCTTTTTTCTCAGTTTCATTTCTGCCATTGTAACTAATTAGACGAATTCTTAGAGAAAAAAGAACAAAAAGAGGGAATTCATTGTAACCTAATATTTTATGTCATATCATAAGCAAAATTTAATATTTTTCCATATTATTTTTCATCGACAAAAAACGACATTTTCTCCACGTTTTCTACAGAAATTATTTTAAATAATTTCTCCGCGTTTTCATCGTTAATAAAATTCAGTCGCACAATTATCATATACCGCGTTGGCGACGTTACCTACATCGTCAAATGTACAATCCTCCATTGGAAATTTAACGTTACGACGTCTGCGTTCACCTTTTTCTTTTCCTTGAGCCGTGCTTCAGAAAAAGACGTGAAATTCTTCGCGTACCAGCCCATGAAACGTAATTTTGTATTGTCTGGCTGGAGCGGCCGTTTCCATTAAAAGCACTCACCTCAGCATTGAAGTGCGCTATTTGAGCCCATGCATTATATTGAGACTATTTACTGTCTCGAGTGTTCTTATTGTTATGGAGTAACGAGCACTAAGCCAGGGACATTTCGCGAACAGGCTTGAATAAATAATAAATTGCACGTGGAACCGATCCACGTATTAAGGATGAACGTTACAAAGAAGTTTCTTTAGAAAAATTTTTCCTTTCGCTCCGCATTTATATTAATCAATGAAATACAATTAATTACTGTAGATTTCAATTAACCATTTTCTCGTATTAATCAATTAAATATACAATCAACGAGAACAAGTGACAACAAGAAAATGTATCTGCAAGTATATACACGAGTTATGTTTTATTCTTTACTTTCCCTTATTGTGGAATGATTTTCATTGAAGTGTTTGTCGTGTCTCTAAAGGTATCATTGATTAAATAAACGAGAAATTTTTACGAACGTAAATGCGTTCAATAAGTATTGACGTTAATTACACTTGTAAATTAAGGGCCATTGGTTGGTTATCGATTAATTGAAATGCTTCCGCTTCCATTTTTTCTCTTACCTTTATTAATATTGTTAATCCACGCATTAACATTCTTGCAAAAAGGGTTTTGGTAGTAATATTTTGAAAGGAACAATTGAACTGAAACTTAGTTGAGAATTTAATTGAAAATTTTTAATTAATTATTTAATATCATCTGATTCGCGTGTCAAAATTGTACCTTTTTAGGGTAAGACATAAGGATTGATAAACATATAAACGAGCCTTATGATAAGGGACGATGGAAAATGTGAAAAATGAAGGTCTGAACGAGAGAAGAGCGAAGGAGGTGAAACTGAATCAATAAGAAAAGCAGACTGGAAAATTGTCGAAGAAAATAGGATCTGTGACTTCGAGAAATTCTATTTCAAAAAGGATTTCATTTCTCTAGGTTAAAATTAAAATTCTAACAAATTCAATTAAAGTATTTTTACCACTGCAATGCACTTGAGAAAATAAAATCCTTTTAATTAAAACACTGCAAAGTGTGCCTTATGCTATATCAAAGTTAAATAATGACTACATAAACTGTTAAAACAAACAAAGACTAAATTAATCGACGGAACAGTATTATCCACTGAGAAATCCTCAATTTTCAATTACTCCCAAAAAGAAGCGTAATTTCGGCATCCAAAGTACGGGCCAACTGAAAAATCGACCTCTTAAAACGAATCTTTACGACGAGTTACCACCCCATTTATAGAAATGTAGGTCAGCCAGTGATTTACACATTGCTCAGCATTAATCGTCATTAGCTCCCTAAAATTAGCACCGTTAAAGCGAAAGGTAGCCGAGAACAGTATAAAAGGAGGAGAAACTCGGTAGGGATAGGAAGAATCCAATTGAAGTTATGAACTAAACGCATAATGAGCTTGGTAGGTAGCACTCCGTGAGGCAAGTAAGTATTATTATATTATCATAAGCGGCTCTTCTTCGTCGACCCACGGACTCCCGTTGTCGTCCATCCTCCGAGTCACCTCCGACCCCCTACCCCACCCTCTCACAACTCCTGTCGGCTAACTAATTTCATTCCGCAAGTCTTTAATTAGTATTCGTCGCTGAGCGTCCAAAGTTTTTCACTAGATTCGTCCTACCAGGACCGTTCACCCGTATTTGCATAGGCGAAAATTTCAGCCGGGGGGAACACTTTCTTGTCCGGCCAGCTTTGGAACGTTCAATATTCCGTCTCGTTGGGACTCTTCCGAAATTTCATATCGGCAAAAATGATTATTCGTTAATGAAATTTCCTCGTTCCACGTGTACGCAAGTTACAAATTCCTTTGTGACCGGTATACGTTATTTATACATGTAAATCTAATTAACGTGTACCTGCCAGGAAAGGAACGAAGAATAATTGCGAGACGGTTACGATCACTCGTTACTTTAATAAAACTTGTTTCATTTAATTGAAGAAGAGACTAATAAATATTGTGTGCTCTCTATGAAGTTGAAAATAAATATTGATATTGTTTTTTTTTAAAAATGAATATGGAAACGTGATCTATAAAATAAATTCATGAGTGCAGTTTTCTTGGATTCATGCTGAAGGAAAAATCATTTACCATTTCACCGCGCGAATTTTCGTTTTTATATCTTTTAAATGCGCTCATCCTGTTCTTGGATCTGTCGCGTTTATCACCGTTGAAGGTTGGAAAAAAAAAATGTCGGAGCTTGAAGAATATCGGCCAAGGCCAGAGGTAGCTTAGAGGCGTGTCGTTTAAACTGAAAGCATTTGAAATCTTGCTGCACGATCTCTCGAATTCTAACGAAACCCTCGACTTTAGGGGAAAATCTGTTCCCGGCGAACAACTTGGGGTTTTTGGCTGAAACTTTTTGCATAATGTCACCGACCAATCATCCTCGTTAAACTCGTATTTTCATCTTTGAACATAAGTTTTTAAAGCTTTTCGTCCCCATGAAAAGAGACTCTATAAACTGTTCAATTATGAAATGTACGATGACCATTTTTTTCAAAGTTTTAGTACACAAGAAAATTGTGAAATTATTTGAATTAAATTCTATTATATTTTAAACATGCACATTATAATGAATGATGCACTGAAAATTGCATTAAAAGCGTAATAATAAAATTTCTCCAAAATGCATATTTCAAATAAGGTACTTTATAAAATAACATTATTTTGTCGACAATAAAATAAAAAGTCTGATCAATCTTGTCGACAATAAAATGAAAAGTTCAATGAAGTATAGAGACAAGAAAAAAAATCAAAATGCAGTATCATGAACGAGTGGGTCGTATTAATTGTAGACGCTACATGTTCAATTATAGCTCATTAAGTTCCTTCTTTTCTCATATTTCCGCTCGTTTGCGTAGGCCGTGCTTTAGCTCATCACCGTGAAGCCTTATTTTTACACTAGCTCCTTCGTTTCGTCATTGATCCGTGGTATGCGTTCGCATTCATCCGTTTTATTCGTTGAATAATTTTACTGCTTCCCGGCCAACAAGGACATTGAAAAATGAAAATAAACACCGTCGTTCCATTTCGAATTCACGAGTGGACGACGATCAAATTGTTGATGGCAAAGATTGTATCTCTAACCCGAATGTCAATTTTCATTACCGTATGAACGTCTATATAACTTGAAGTTGCAATAACACCCATCATATGGCAATTTCTTAATTTGATTTTGAAGATTAGATAGGTAACACGCAAATTCTAAGAAATGTAAAATATTGGGAAAGCAGATATAAAATGTAAATCCAATTAAAAATTACAAAAAAGAAAATCTCTAAAACTATAATACATATGGAAATGTAATTTTCATTGTGGGTCATATAAACTCGAAATGAGACAGTGGGGTTAATCGGGATAGAATCTTTGCAAATGGATCTCGTTTCCAAAGAAGAAAAAAGAAGGAACATTCTTGAAATCCATCTCGAGGTATCGATTAACAAACACAAGTGCTGCCTTTGCAGGCTGCTTTTTTTTCTTTTTTAGTAAAACAACCGTTCGTGGTGGAACCGTTTCAAATTTTTCTGAATGACGGGGCGAAAGCTCTGTGTGTCGAACGAGCCTTCCGTTGCTGCTAAAAGAGACAGACTTTTCGAACGGGTAACGCGATCGTGCGCATCCATTTGTGCAACGTGGAGTTTCGCAGATCTAATCGAATTCCGCTTACGTCAAGGAAAATTCCCCTTTCGCAAACGGTGAACACGATATTTAATTTCGACTTGGCGGTTTCGAGTTTCCATTGGTCGATCCTGTTGATATAAATATAGAGTGTTCAATCCTTTCCCTATCAAGGGCAGCTATAGCTGTCCTACGCGAAGGGTTTAAACTTTGAAATAGTTGACATGTAATGAAAATTAAAAATAAAAAACCCCTGCCATGAAAGATACTTTGGAAAAAGTTATTTTACTTGCGTTTGTAAGATGACCCTCAATATTGTATATTATTCTATTATTTTAAATTAATATAATGGTTACTGAGTGTATTAATATTTGAATACACTAATAAGAGGGTAGATTATGTAGAAATAAATCTATCTTTCAATCACGCGATCCGCTCATTGCAACAGAGATCATGCACCATCGTTAGAAACAATTAGAATTAAAGGAAAACATTTATATTGTTACTCACCTTCAGATTTTGGCGCGGGAGGTTTGCGAGTCGCCCAATTCGTTCGAATACTCCTGCTACCCAACCATTGTCCATGCATGGCACCGATGGCACTTTCCGCTTCCTGAAACAATGACAATAAAATTGAGCAAAAAAGTTTCAGAGTATTATCGATCATTTTCTATAATTAAGTATTATATTACTGTTTAATTTTCACACTTAATTTCATTTAAACCCTAAATTTCACGCGATACAAAATCTATATTTCGTTTGAATCGATAGAAAAAAGAAATTGCTCGCATTTTGGGGTAACCGATACGAGATAGGTTTTCGCCCGTTCATTTACTCGTTGACTATGATCAAAGCATTTTCGATTTAGGGGGAGGCGTTCGTGTGCAATGGGTGCCAAAAAATAGAATGATACATTTACACGAAATTCACCGCTGCATACGATATTCCTTATAGAAACTTCACACCTATATTTCTATTCATATGTAGTTGAATATGCACACGACCGATCATACATGCATATGCTAACTAAATATTCAGGTATGTATGTATTAGAAATTGAACAGTCTGTTTTCCTATAATTTTCTTCTACTCTTGGATCAGCAAAGAAGAAACCAAGAAATAGATGTGTTATCCAGCGTTAAAAAATAGATCGAGCAAGTAGAATAAACAAAAAGCCGGGAACGTTACGACCAACAGCTAGAGACCGTAACTTGCAGTACACAAGATGGTAGCCGTAACTTTTATTTACTACTGCTCTGGTTTGAGAAGCATAGCACGAGTGGATTGAGAAAAGTGGCCTATTACTGTTTCCCCTGCATGGAACAGGCGTAATAAATACGTATACATTACCAGAATATTTTCCGTTTTACATTGTTACACAGAGAAAGTTTTAACAATGCTGTATCATAGAATCATCGAGTTTCTCAGAAAGTTCCTAAAGAAATTTAAATATCATCAAATATTTCTTCATTCGCCGCATTTTTATCGAACAGAAATCCAGGAAATTCTTCGAGGGAACTAGAAATTCTCTATTTTCGCCATTCAATTCCTTTCGAAACGTAAGACCCCGATTTCCGTGAGATGGAACCAGTGGCGGAACGGTGCCGATAGCGTCAGCCACGATGAAAACAGTTTGCTCTGTAGCAGTGTAACAAAGCAGTCACTCGGGTCCGTCTATCATAAGTCCATTACGCTATCCGTATGAAAAATAAGAAGGAGCCCTGCAGGAGGAGGCAGTCTGGGAGCCAAGAAGAGTTAAGGCTAGATGGAGGAGGGAGGGTGGTTCCGTGGTAAGGCCGTTTCAGAGAAGAAATGGATGTGGAATAACAGAGGACGACGTCGCTTGAAAACGCACACAGAGACGCCTGCGTCGCCCATAAATGCGAACGTTCGTGACAGCGTGCCGGTGGCAGTCGGATGGCTGATGCGAACCAAGGACGGGATAGGAAACCTAAAAATATTCCCGTCGCGGGGAATCCCTCCGGAAGGCTTGGCTGTTCGAGAAGCTCTTCACCAATGCGTATGAAGAGGGAGTTCCCTCGTTTTATTCAGTTCCCCTCTGCTCGCCATTTGCAACTTCTCCAGGATATTCTTGGGTCCATCTCGTACCTTCAGACGGTAACCTTGCTCTATTTCCTGGTCGCGGTATCCTATCCTCTCGTTTCCGGCTATCCTCGCATCACACCGTCACTCCTCTTTTTACACTCGCGGAGATAAAGTGTTTCCGATTCGAATTTCCATCCACGATATGACCGGAAACCGAGCGTCGCGTCGGCCTCAAAGACGATCTTAAACCTGCGCTCGATAAGTCGCCGGGACTTTTAACCAGGGACGGGGCCAAGTGGACACAGAGAATACGGTTTCCTGGAGCAGCAGTTTGTTTTTTTTAATATAGACCACTATATTTCTCTGGGCATTTCCGTGACCGAACCATCCTGGTGACCTCGTGCAAAACTACCTACTTCTCTATGCCCAAGCAACCATCAAATCGAATTTCTCGCACGGTCAGAAATGGTCTATAGACCGTTCGTGACTCTGACCAGGCGACACCCAGCTGCTTTACACGCATTACTAAGTCATAGAGCGACGGTACGCGACGTCGGATTACGTGGCTCTAACGAAATCGCGCGCCTTATTCCTGGGCGACGGCGACGTCACGGCTGCCTCGCACCCCGGGGTACCAACGATCGGGTATTTTATGGGGATATTATGTCGACGTCAGGGAGGCGGGGTAGAAGGAAAATTTTGGAATCAACAGCGACGTGGAAATTAAGAATACGAAATGAATTTTTTGTCGAACCTTTCCTTCCGACCTTATCCCGACACGGATTTTATCGATGGAACGTTATGAAAGCTTTTTTCGGGTTACTTGATTTATTGCTAGCTGGATTTATTGATCTCAGGTTTTATCGTTCCAAGTGGCCAACTTTTGCCACTGTAATATAATCTTCGTGTTGCTTTTAAGACGATTTTGTATGTGAGATTGTGATCAATTTTTTTTTTGTTTTATCTAACGCTTTCAGTTTGGGACCTGAACAACTTTGACAGTTTGTTGAATATTCTTGATTTATTCAAAGCCAGGTCATTTGTGATGTAGAACTACGAAATTGTAGAACAACAAATCTTTGTTCTACGGTGATCCTTTGAATATTAGAGCGATGTTACTATACGTTGACGATGTAACCTAGGTCCTAGTAAACTTAGAACGAAGTCTTCTACTTTTTCTTTTCATAAAACAATTATTATTCTACATTTATTATTCCAACTAACGGATTAAGTGTTATTTTCCGAAAAAATTCTCTCAGCTCCGTTAGGGAAGGGTAGCGATCGAGAGGATCGGAAGTCGTATTGCTTGAATGGCCGTTAAACGCAGTTGGATGTCGAGCGGGAGGGTGGTGGGTCGAGGTGAAACGAGAATCCTGGGAATTCGCATTTCCTCGTACATCTTAAAAGAGGTAGGATGTTGGACGCCCGGTGATTAGAACCCGCGATTTAGGTACGTGTATCCGGCGGTCGAAGGATATAGTGGCGGCAGGATACGGGAACGGGGTTTTCGGTGCCGAAGAAGGTGAGCCAGGAAGGGTACGGGGATAAGGGGGGAGAAGGAGAAATTTTCGCGTGTTCCTCGAGGTTAACGGAGACACCCGGAAAATTTATACTTCGGTAATAGTAATACCGTGGGTGTGAGGCAGGTGCCGGGCGGTTGGTCCAGATCGATAGAACATTAAAACAGAGGGGAAACGAGAGGGTCCGTAGCCTGGGGGCAGCCTCCCCGACGAATAACCTCGCCATAAGCGGACGAAGGACTTCTTTTACTCGCTCGTACATCTAACTTCGTCGTGATTTACGCGGAGGATTTTCGCGGGTCACGGTGAAAGTCGACCCACTCTGTGTTTCCTACCCGAAAAATCATGCTCTAAAGCCTGACACGTTTTCCGCTCTTCTCTTTATTTAATCAACGAAATATTTCGAGAAACCAGACGCATCTTGAATAGCCATGATAAATTTCAATTCTTCCTTGAAATATTGTTTCAAGCATATCTTTCAAATAGACATACACGTCCGGGAAAAAATTTTCTTTATCTTCCATTTAGTTTTCGAGAAAATGAAACCGGAATTGATTCAGTTCGGATATGGACAAACTTTTGATTTCAATAGAAATTTTTAATACGCTTTCTCAGCTATGCCTGTGATCGTTCGAATTGAAATAATAAATTATTCTAAGAAAAATAATGGAAAATATATAATCGTCTTAATTAGCTATTTGGAAGGTTATTAGCTAAAGACAAGCTTGTAGCTAAGGCTCTATCCTTAAAAAAGGATCTACTATCTTAGCTACAATTTTGTACTACCTGCATTATTGCAATGATAAAACAAGATTTTTTGTAACTTACTGCTTTTTTAACAAAGGAAACAAACCCATAACCCTTGGATTTGAGTGTCTGTGGATCTCTCACGACTCTGCAATCTCTGTAACAGAAACAAGAAAAAATATGTTAGAATATTGAAATTTTTAGTTATTACTGTGGTAAGAAATGTCCTCAAACAATTTTTAATTAACTTAACAAGGAATTAACATAAAATTAAATTGCAAAATATCCATGGTACTGAAATTTCTTTTAGAAGGACAGAAATTCTGTAAATCCGTTATGATTTAATAACGCCTCGACGAAGAGAACGATTTATTTCTCGTGCCAGTAAATTTCGAGGCATTCGTATTCCCTCGAAAACTGTCGACAGCATTGTCAAGCGAGTCAGAGCTGGACACCCTAAAATTCTTCCTCATAATTAAGATTCCAGAAATGCCTATCAGACGAAATTACGAATACTCCTTCATAGTCTGTAGTTGCTGATCTACGAAGTCCTTCTTCGTTTAACCCTCTCATATAACCAGCAGCTCATGTATGTAAGTACTCTCTTCCAAAAGTAATGAGAATATATTTACAAAAGTTTTCCTATTCAACAAGCCAGGAAGAATAATAATAGCAAGAAGAAGAAAGTACAATAACAGTGAATAAATTTCCATTACTCTCGCTAAGGAGCGTATCATGAATAAAATAGTTCCACAGCACTGTTTTTCTGTAGTTAAATAATAATAAGGCAGAATATTTTATTTCTTATACTTTTGTTGAGAATTAACATCAAGAAATATTGAAGCTAAAGCAACAGCCACTAATTGCTTCTTTCATAATTACCACTTTTCAAAAGAAAATTGAAATTTAATTAGTAACGACGAAAGTATAATAAAAATAATATGAAAAATTCATAAAATAAAATTTTATGTTACAGTAGTTATTAATTTACTGCAGATTACATTATTTATTATAAATCAAGTTGAATAATTAAATTGTAGTAATAGAGAGACGATACGTGAATAGCGTTTATCTTTCTGTTGATGTTATCCCTAGGACCTCGCTCGCAATACTGACTCGTCGTCGCTCGAGTGCTCGTTATGGCCCAGTGGTTTTGTATACATACATATCACCACCTAGAGTACAGGCTCGAGCGAATTTGTTTTCTTTAAACAAAAATGCGAGCTAAATACAAATTTTGCTTACAAAATATTAAATTGTTTAAGAATTTGTTTTTATTGAATTTTATAACTATCTAGACTTTGACTTTCTGCGAAGATATAAATAATTATACACAGTGCAACTAGAAGAAGAAGAACAACAGCGTATGAGCATCCTCTATCATTTTCCATTTTCAACGTAAAGTAGAACATGAAGTGGTAAATTGAAATAAGAAGGTCAAGTAAGAGCTCGAATAGGCAGTAGTTTCCAGCAAATTTTATTTAGAACCGTTGTGCAGCACAAGAACCTAAATAAAGTTGTGGTCAACTGTACACGTAGGTTTTCAGTAAAGTTAGGCATTTACTTTCTCTCTTTATCATTAAATACTTATGCTCGTTTAAATTGCTTTCTCCGTTAAAGTCAGTATTTAATCAACTCTTAATCCTCCCAGTTTTTGCGCAATAAAGTCGAAAGCATACATTTTATCTTCATTTCTCATCTAAAATTAAAAATTCACCACCTTTATATATTTCTCTAGAACCTACATCTTCGAACATTTAAGAAATCAGTTTCAAAGTTTCAGGATTATGAATTTATTCATATTAAAGAATCAGCTAATTAGAATTAAGGAAGATACGAAATAATTGTATAATTATTTTGATAGCAATTTAAGCTTTTATGGCATTAAATTGACGTAAAATCTAGTGGATCGTACGATACGATATAACAAAAATACTTTAACGCGTTTCATAAGGGTCTCCTCGAATCGCGTCATTGTTTTCCGTGACTTTTCCGTCAATGCCGCGGAATGTCACAGTACTAGGAGCATGAGTAATAGTCAATATAAGTTAGATGTAGAGCACGCCAGTCGCATATGTCGTTGCCCACACTTCCAAGTCTCTCCCTACTCGTGGTTCTTTCGCATTCGATATAACCGGGGAACCCCCTCTGGCACGTTCTCATTTCAACCATCCCACCCCCAACCTTTTCGCCCTCCTTTTTCGTTCTCTGCACGCCGCCGTCGAGCGTAGGAACGAAACAATCGTCGGGTGTCGTGGATTTACGTTTTCCACTGTTAAAAATCGTAAATTAATGCACGGTTATTGACGCGATAAATCTCGAAATTTAATTCAAGTTCCATCGAGAGCTGTCCAAGCCCCGACGCCATCCCCCTTTTTTCCTCTACGGTCGGTGATATAGCCGCGACAATGGCGGAGCTTCGCGTAGCTTGGACGACAAAGCCCAGATAGGATAAAGAGTTAGTTTTTAGATTTATTGCCGGCCGTGCTGGCCGAACGCGATGGACGTCAGAATGGAAAGCAGCAACCAACGCGAAGCTCGATGATTCAAATTGCACGTCGTAGACACCGTGTCCGGTCGTACATAAGCATGGCTCGTCTTTCACCCTATCAGTCCACCCTCTCGAGTCTTTATTCTATCTACCTGTCAACGAGCTACGTTCAGACGAGTTTTATTTATTACTTCGTGGCTCGTGACGTTTCGAGCCGAAAGGAAAAACCTGAGCTATGCTTTTCGAGAAAACGTTGAACCGTTTTACGCTCCAACGATAGTGGTTCAGGCCAGTTTTCACTCGGATGAAATGTGTACAACGGTACGTGAATCAAAATTAAGATCTGAAATTTGCAGATTAAAAGAATTGGTATAACATTTGGGAAAGAGAAATTCAATTAAATTTTCTTGTTCAATTAACTTGCGAAGGTAATCACAATAAATTTCCATTTAACAGTTGAAAATTTATTGTACTAACTTGAATGTCAATATCAATATTGATTATCTGTAACATCAACGAGCTGTAATTACGAAACTGACATAGGAAATTACACCTGGGATTTGTCTCACATTTCATCCAATTACATAACAATAATTCAACGTGTGTTCGCACCTGCTACTTTAATTTAACAGTCAATCATCTGTACACCTCAATGAATATTTTCAAAGCAGACAAATAATGGAATGAAAGATTACCGTCTCATATTTCGTCCATTTAAATAACAACATTCAATTTATATAACATTTAAACGTCTCGATGAATATTTCAAAAGCAAGTTGTAATTTAAAAAAATTCTTTTTGAACATTTTCTATATCAGGCATATCAATTAGAGAATGGAATTTGACCGAACACGGAATTCGTTTTACTTTTGCATATCGAGCTACAAAAACTGCTGGCATAGACCAGCAAAATCTTGTCACCCATTTTGTTTTTTTATCAGCGAACCCTGTCCCTAACCCACGAAACTTTTACGCTTTAGCTGTCACCGGTGACACTTTTTCATCTGCTGTCAGTGTTCCATGGCAATCTAGGTACCCATAGAAGCAGTTTTTCTCATCGTCATCGGACCGAGTCGCGAACCCATTAATTACTGACAATAAAAAGGAAGACGCGTCAGCACGAAAATCTTCGCCCTTATCATCATACACGTAAGAATCGAACGGAACCAGCGTCGAAGGATATCACTTCCGAAAGACCGGAAGCATCTATACGCTGCGGATAAGAGATATGAATACTCGTTTCTGGAGCTTCATCAATCTATCCGTTAATAACTTGGCCACACTGTCATTTTGCTTGTTCGGCTTGATCGTTATCGTTACTCCTTTTAATCACACTCTGCTACCTTTCAAAGATCTCGAATAATTTTATATAATTGTTTCTGTTAACGAAGGTACAAAAAATTAATTTCTTAAGTAACCCACTGTCCTATGATTTTTCAAAAATTGTGTCAATCAGAGCCAGTTATTGATTGCTTTAATTTTAAGACGAATAAAGAAAATTGAAATCGGTGATCCTTGACTGTGCAAATTATAATTAGAATTAAACTTTCTCCCGAATAAAAATAATTTTCGATCGATCCGAGTATACCTTCGCGACAATACCGAACCCCAAAAAAGTCTACCGAATAATCGACAAATTTACGAAGGGAAGGGAAGAGAAAAAAAATGTTCAATATTTTTCAGCAGCCGTTGAAACAAGCCACCGGTGAACTATAGTCGGTAGTTATCGTGATGTTGGTAGAAAACGTTCCGGTATCGGATGAAAACGAAAGGGCGCGCAACCCGGAGGGGTAGTGAAGTGGAAAGGGGGAGGGAAGTTTGCTTACTTTTCGCTAAGTGCACTCAATGCCGAGCGCGCGAACTAATTGTCGGTGGGATAGGTTCGCCCCGACCATGGAGAGGATGGGGTTGAGACAAAATCGTGTGCTCGCTTGGTATCCAGGGACTCTCCAAGATTTCAGAGTGGGCTTCGATTTCGAGATCTCGACAAATGAAACGGGTCGTCGTGGAAACCTTCTCCGTCCAATTCCAATTTTTTTTTTTTTTGTCGATGTAAACCGCTTATTAGTGTTCCTGCCTCGCCGATTGCCATCGTTCTCCTTACTTTTTTCTTCCTCCGAACTATTTCTACGTTTAATTCGTTGGGACTAGGATTTCCAAGCGAAATCAGAACCAGGCGGGCCGGATTGATTTATGATGCTTATGAAATTTCGGTCGATCGTGACGCGAATAATTCCGGTTCGTGGCAAACGCGTGACTGAAATCGGCTAACGCGGATTACTCGAGTTTCTTTGGCGAACGGAAGTACGTATGTATGGTTCCCCGAGTAGCCGAGACGTCGACGAATCAACTTCTAACGTTTGCTATCGAGATGAAAACCGTGGGACCGTATATATACTTTCGAGGAAATACTTCTATTTATCCACAAATGCTGACCGTGAGAAATGACTTGAAAAAATAAAATAAAATAAATAATCCTTACATGTACATCATTTTTTATTCCCTGCTTACTGATATAGGATTTGAAACTTTCAAGATGATTTGAATTAAACTTGCATTCAAATATTTTTATGATCTTCATATTTAGCGCAAGAAGATTACGATTCGTCTGTTTATCATTAATATTTTCATCACTTTTGCATTATATTCTGTTTAATATCGGCTTA